AAAGAGCATGGCGGTGGTGGCACACGCCTTTAATCCCATAGATCTCTGTGTGTTCAGGGATACAGCAAGCATTGGAGACATACGCCTTTAAGACCTAGAGGGCTGTACATACAGACAGTGATGAGGCAGTCACGTGTTTGGGTTTACAGCCAATGAGAAGGCAGAATGACTTTGAAACAAGGGACACACAAGGAAATAGCTCTCTTTTGGGAAGCTGGGACAGCAGGAGGAAGGGTGAGATTTTAGCTCTGAGCTCTGACCTCTTGGCTTTCTCTTTTACATTGTTTCTGTGTTTCTTATTTAATAAGACGGTTGGTTACATCTACACATACTGACACTCTTTGTTTCTCAAAATCAGAGTTTTCTCATAATGGATTTCATATATAACAGTAATTAAAATTATCTGCCTTTAAAATGATCTTGCTCTAACAAACATGACTGAATGATACAAAATGCATTCCAAATTGGTAGTTTTCCTTCTACCCTGCATTCTAGGGAGTTATGCTTAAGTATTTTTCTAATTATAAGTAATTTCCGATCATTTTAAAAAGAATTTCACATATCTATACTGAAGGAGACAATAATAAATTCCCCAAATCATACGAACTAATAGAAACATCAAAATGTATGATAGTTGTTAATAGAGGATTTCATTGATAAAACCTCTGCACAATTAAAATGTTGTCTACTCTCTGAAATGATTACCAATAAATCTATTTCTTTCAACAATACAGCACAGGTCTGTTTTGGTTAATTAGTTAAGAGGAATTTTTGATCATATTACAGAATTGATTTTGCTCTCTCTACTGTGTTCCAAGTTGTGCTTCACTTGTAAAATGCCACTTATCTGTATGGTTGTGATGTTTGTTTCATGAGTTGAAAAATTACATGACAAAAATTACATAAAGAAAGAAAGGAAGCAGTGAAAGAAAGAAAGATGGAAGGAAGGTAGAACAGAAAGTAATGAAAGAAGAAGAAAGGATCAAGGAAGGAAGGAAATAATTGTGGAAGGAAGAATGAATGGAAATAGAAGAAAAGAAAGAGAGAGAAAGAAAGAAAGAAAGAAAGAAAGAAAGAAAGAAAGAAAGAAAGAAAGAAAGAAAGAAAGAAAGAAAGAAAGAAAAAGAGAGAGGGGGAGGGAGGGAAGAAAGGAGGAGGGATGGAAAGAAAAAAGGAAGGAAGGATGAAGGGAGGAAGGAAGGAAGGATGGATGTATGTAAGTTTTGGTTAAGGTTTTAGGTTGTTTAAAGCTGGTGTCTATACATGAAACTCAGAGAACCATGGTTGTCAACCGTGATCCCAGCAAACACCATCCAATGTTTGTGAATGATGACACATAGAGAAGTGAGTCTATGGGAATGTTCCTTAGAACACTATCAAAATCATGTTCTTTATGATTTGCTGGTTCATCTGACAATAATGCATACATAGGAAATATGACATCATTTAAGATAAACCCTGTCCAATAGGGTACAAGGGAAAACCCAGCATCCCTGGAAGATGTTTAAAGTTCCACCTACTTGGAATTTTTGTTCTTAGTGAGAGGCCAGGCATAATCCTAGGAAGATGATTCCAGTTGATCAATCCAGCCACATCAATGAGGATGGAAAAAAAAATAAATTATTGGCAAGTTGTTTCAACCCAAGAGCTGCTGTGGTCTTTGACACTCCTTGAATTACAAGAACTAAGAAGTATCTATAACTCTTACATAGCATTTGAGTGGGTATACAGTTGCATTCATTGTAATGAAGAAAGAAGAAATGTTAAGGAAAAGAAATTATGACCACCATTCACAACAGCATGGGAACACTCCTGTGTTCAGATATGTAAGGTCAGTCTGCTCAATTCCTGGTATAGGTATTCATCATCACAATAATAGCACCAGCACACAACACTGTTGTGGTTATACTGATCACATGCACAGAAATTTAATACTCTCACTAGTGAATATTAACTTTGTTTTATTTTGTTAAGAGTTAAATGTATAATGGCAAATACAATTTTAAAAGATTTATTTTTATTGCACATATATCAATATCATTCAAATCCTACAGCCTTTTTTTACCTGATCATGTCTCATGTTGAGGATCTACACAGACCTATAGACCAATACCAGTGCTGACATCCCACTGATTTTAATTTTCCCTTAACAGTGAACACTGTCCTATTCCACTCAATGAACTGGACAACAAAAGCACATCTCAGGTGTTCAGTTCCCTAAGTCATGCCTAACTGTTCTCTATTATCTTTCAGTCTCTTATATTCACTGACATATCAGTCTGAAATGACAGCGTGTCCCTAGTATTGCATAAAAACATGTCAGTCAGGGACTTATTTATCTTATATTGACTCATATGTGTACATTTCTTCCAAAGGAGAGGTGATAATTTGTATTCCTCAATTTCTATGCTTCCAAAGTTCTCACACTGTTCATATTAGACCATTTTCAGTCATCTCATGAGCCAGGTTCTTAAAGAAGCTTTCCTTCCTAGTTCAGAAGACTCCACAGTATAGGCATATCAGATACAAAATATTCTATAGTTTTTCTAGGATTTCATACACTGGGCAATGATAAAGACCCCATGTCCATACTCAATCTTAGATCTTTCAGTTTCTATGGATCAAATGTTAGAGTTCATGGTTGTTTTCTACTGCTTCATCTGTACTATCTCCTCTTGCATCCTAAATATTATAAGAAGTGGCAGGCATAAATTTTTATTAATTAAGTGTATAAGTGGTCAACAATAATGAAAATTTATGTATCAATCCTTTCCTCTTAGTTTAATAATTTCTTTGAATTTTCTAATTGTCTGATGTGGACAGTAGTTCTATTTTCACTGTTAAGATCTGAACTTAGAAAGAGAAAGGGTGCATGACTCTTAAATCTAAAAGCTCTTTGTGTTAGGGTGTATACTGGACATATCTAGTGTGATGCCATCATAGTCACCCAAAACCCCAATCACAAAGCCATGAGACACATTTTGAAAAACATTGCAGTTTTTTAAGTAGTTTGTGTTTCCTACTTGACATGTTTTTCATTTTGTTTATATTCCATTGTATGCTTTTTATGGCAAAATGTTTTATTTTGGGATAGTGGAAATATGGAATAGTCATACAAAATGCTTGATAGGTTTGGATTCTAGCACTGACATGCTAACTCACAACTGATGCTAAGATCAGCTCCAGGGCATTCTGACAAACTCTTCTGGTCTCTCCAAGTACTGTAGTTTCATAATGCACACGTATGTGTGCAGGCAAAGCATTCATATACATAAAATAAAAGCAGATAAATCTTTTTTAAAAGTTTTCATTCTGAAATAAATGTTTATTTCTTAGACAAATGCCAAGTGCAAATAAGACTTTTCATATTTTAATAAAAGTGCAGTATTCTAAAATTGGCTTGTGGTGACAGCTGTCTTATCCCCAAGTTTGATTTCACAAGCACAATATGTACCTGATATTTCAGATGCCACTAGAAATAGCCATTGTTTTCAATGAATGATAAAGGCTGAAGTGGTAACTACAAATGAATTACTCACACCACTACTCTTGTAAAATTCAACATGAGATACTAAGAAGAAAATTACATTACTAAAATATTTCCTTAAAATTGTGAGTATACTTACTAGATCATATGTTGATTTACCTACTATAATAAAAGTTACAATACACTCAACTAGAAAAGCTTCATGAAAGATACATAAAGAATCTGAAGAATGTTAGAACTTATTAAAAAGAAGCTAATATGTATATAAATGTAGCTGATTGTTAGAGTACTGTCCTGCCATGGGACCATGGCCCTTATGTTTTCCATTATCAACAAGGATAAAGCAGTGATAGACTACATGTCAGCACTTTGTGCTCAATAACACTGGAATATGATTCAGCCAGGATAGATAACCTACAACACATTTGTTTCTGGCTGTCATTGCTGATATTCATTCTATATCCTCCCTTTAGTGTTACCTTCCCAAGCTCAAAAGGGAGGTTTCAAGCCAGTCCTTCAATATAGACTGGTCATTCAACACAAAGTCAGTTAATGACTCTAAATATAATGTTACATAAGAATATCCATTAGCCCAGAAACAGATTCATTTGTTAGAGCTTCCAAGATTGTATAATTTTACATTCCAATTTGAATGCTTACCATGGGCATAAAAACCATGCTAAGTTCAACTATAATAACCATACTGCAAAACAGTCTAAGTATCATTTAACATAAAGTAAATTATCACATTGACATATCACCACAGTCCTTTAGCACTTTCATGGATGTATTGCATGACTCTGGTGGCATCCACAGTCACCCTCAGTCAGAGATTTGTATCATAGTAAGAACCAACAGGGACAGGCACAATGTTTTTGCCTATTTTTGTCTCACCTCTTAGCTATGGAATTATTCTTCTGCCCTTTCTGTTGGTGCCACAGATCTATTTCTCCCCCACATTTCCACTGCTGAACATGAGCACTTACTCACGCTTCTCTTCTTTGCTGGATCTGATGCTCAGGCTGAAATACAAAGTACTCTGCTGGATTTTGGACTCTGCAGGATGTTGGATTTATTCACACTCATTAACGTAAAGGAGAGTCACTTCAAGCCTGAAGTAGCGGTCTAGGATTCTGTGACCTCAGCTCCCTCTAGAACTACAATTTTTATATCACCTACAATGGTAATGACAGTGCTGTGTTTAAGAGACCAGATCATTAATAAAACTTTTTTTCCATTTGCTGATTAACAAAGACACTTAAGAGTGTTTTCCTGACTCTCTCCAAAGACATGAGTTGTTTTGAAGAAGCACTGAGTTTTCGTCATCCCTGAAGTCAGACCGGGGTGTTAGAAAGTTTGAGATTTGATTCATGAGAAAGTTAGAGAAGTCTCTGGGTCCCATTGGATCCAGACTTCTCTGACTTCTTCCAACACAAATCAACTTAGGCTTTTTTTTTTTAGGATTTAGAATATTTACTACTTAAATGTTTTTTTGAATATTATATACATGCCATATGTATATATGCACCCATACATTATCTCCTTCTTATCTCTTATCCCTGCACCAGTATTCCCTCTAAATCTCATTTATTCCCTATAAAAGGAAACAAAAAAAACCTGAGTATACGTAATGATGTTAGTATATGCCTAGTGTAGTGACATCTATGAAAGCATGGGTAGATTCTAAAATGTCAACTCTTGTATAAAATCTGAAACTTTGTTTCCCAGAAGCCATCTGTGGCCAATAGCTCTTCAGCTGGGAGTGGGATTTATGGACCACCTCCACTATGCTGGCATCTCGTCCAGCTTGATCTTGTGCAGTTTTTGAGAAAACTGTCCTAACGTGAATTCACACGTGCAAGTGCCCTGTTCTCTCCAGACAAAATCTGGATTCCTGGAATCTTATTTCACCACTGGTTCTTACAAACTTTCTTCCTTTTCTTCCATGATGATCACTGACTCTTGGGAAGAAAAAGTGTGATATAGATGTCCCATTGTCAGCTGGGCCCTCCAGATTCTCGTATTCTCAGCACATGAAATGAATATGGGCATGAATATTAATCAGCAGTGTGAGAAAAAAAAGCTTCTTTGAAGAAAGTTAAGGGATAGACTAATCCAACAGTACAAAAATAATTTACTGTTGGTGGAGCATGTGTGAGCTGGCCCTCACATGAGGGCTTGGGAGTGGGAGATCTGGCCGTGAACCTCTTCTGCAGTAAGGTGGTATAAGTGTGTGAGAGATGCCCTCTCCCATACTCAGGCCCTCACTGCTTGTAGCAGGTGAGAGAGCTGACCCTGAGATCATAAGAGCAGGAGAGCTTTTCAAACCCCTCACCAGCTGCAACCTTCAGAAGAGTGGACCCTGAAGTTTACCTGGGTAATAGAGTAAGCTGTATTGTATTACCATGGTGGCCTAGGTGTGAGTGAGCTGGCTCTGAGGGTGTGACAGCAGGAGAACTGTCCCTCCCCTTGTTCCTTGCTGAGTAGGGTGAAATAGGCAGGGAAATTCTAAAGAGGTACACTTGGTGGTGAAGATGGCAGCAGCTGCTAGTCTGACAAACCCTGCAGCCAGCTGGGCACAGAACCAGGGCTATGAGTTGCCTCGCTCCACTCCAACATCCACCCATCTACGACCTTCTGGAGCATGTGAAGGGGCTGATCCTGCTTATTCAGACCTAGAGGATCCCCAGAACACAGGGCAACAACATATGCAAGAGAAGTCCCAGTGAAGGCATAGTATCATATCAATAGCATAGCAGAAATCAGAGGCCTTGAACCAGACCAATGATTCTTTGCAATGAACACTTAAAAATAAAGATGGGTGGACTAAAGGGTATATTGTGTGACTCACCGTGTCACACTACAGCTTCTACTATGAGATTTTTCATTTAAGTTTTATTTTGTGGGGGAATTTATAAGGACAGAAAGCTGATGATACAAAGGGATGAAGAGATGAATGGGATTGAGATGCATGATGCAAAACCCACAAAGAATAAATAAAAAATTTAAAAAGTAAGGGTTTATTGGGCAGTTTATTATTATGATATTTTAGTAGAATAATGAAATTTGGTTTATTACCTAGTGTCTATGTAACTTTGTAGCCTTGTTTCTAATAATTGTGCTGGTATAGGTTCCATCTTGTGAAGTGGGCTTTCAATTCAATCATGCACCAGTTAGTTACTCTCATCATATTCATGATATTATTGCATCGGGACTGTGATTGTTATAGCTCTCATGATTCATACCTGGGTAGCAGTTATGATTATTTCTAGCACTATTAAAACTCTCCAGTAAATTTGAAGCTTTCAGCCTAATTTCTCCATTTTCTGTGACTCCAGTATATGGTATCTTCTGCAATAGGGCCAAACCACATACGGACATTAGACTACTAAACATTACAGGCTGTTGACATTATTCTTGGTTATCCTCAATTTATTTCTTAACTTCTCAAACCCTAACCTGCTCCACTTTAGAGTACTCAGCAGAGGAACTTAGTCAGATCTGATAATGTCTAATGAAGTAGGAAATCATTAGAACACTTTATATAATATAATACAAATTAAATTTATAATGATGACTTGAAAATATTCTGGGGAAAATTAAAAAATATGAACCATGTCATAAAATAAACTTTCAAATTTTTTAAAAATATTTTTATTTTTGAAATAAAACCAATAGCCTCATTTCCTCTTTCTCTTTCCTCCTTCTAACCCTTAATATGGACACCCTTCAGTCTTTCTCAAATTCACGGTCTCTCTTTAATTGTGGTTACAACACACACACACACACACACACACACACACACACACACACACACACACTAATATACATATGTATACATGTATAGTCCTAAACGTATAAATACAGCCCACTTAGTCCATACAGTTACTTCTCTGTATAAGATTTCTGTGCTGAACATTTATTGGATGAGCAATAGGGAGGCTCTTCCCAGGGTAAGACTACTTCTCCCAATCTCAGTACTTTTTGCTTGTCTATATTTCTTCATGTGTGGTTAAGGCTTCATGAAATTCACCCCTTCCATGTTATCAAGTATATCAATATCATTCTTGTTCAGGTATTGTTTAGGAAGCCACATTGATGAGACCCCATGGGTGTAGCCTCTCTGACATTTGTAGGAGATGCATTCTCACTGCAAAATTCCTGTTTCGCTGGCTCTTGATATCTTTCCAACTATCATCCCTAGCTGCACTCTCTTGCTCTTAGCATATTTGTTTGTTATAGTTCTCTATAAGTGTTTATATCGGTTGCAAGCACATTTCTCTCACTAGAAGTGAAACCTCTACTTATTTGTCAGTAGAAGAATAAATATTGAGAAAGTGTTTAGGAAACATGATACTTTAGTATAATGGCAGTTGCAGACTCTCCTCTAATACCCACAACCTCAATTGTCCTTGGTAAATGGCTAGGCTCCTAGTACAAGGCATGGTTTTCCCCTCTCTAAATTAGAAATAGTTTTTCATGTGCCACACTGGTGCTTGAGGGTCATGCTACTCCAGGGGCCATCCAAATCTGAGTGGCCTGCACTAGCACTCAGGGTCATGAATGCCATCCCAGCTTAAGCTGCAGTATCAGGACATGTCTAGTTCTGTGACCTTATGCAGCTAGGGTCCATACCAGTACCCATGCCAACAGTTGCTATTGAGGGCAAGACATATGCTGAGGCTGAGCTCCCACCTGAGGCCATATTGGTATCTGAGGGCCACCCTACAGCCAGGCCATGCTGATATGACTGGACAGTACTACCACCTGGGGCCAAGGTGACATCCAGTCCTGGGCTGCTGTCAGAACCCTGTCTGAATCCATAGTCCTGCTGTAGCCCAGGTTTGCAACTTAACATTCAACCTCACCTGGATAATTCTTCTACCCAAAAGCTGTCACTATCTGAGGGATCCATTTGATGAACAGAATTAAGCTGTTGGAAAAGACTGGCTGAGAATCAGTTCTGTGGGTCTACTCTCTGGTCCAGTGAGCAAGGTGAAGCTATAAACACATGGAAGCAAAGAATTTCCCAAGACGCTGTCTTCAGTCTTTGTAAAGAAGATAATCCTCATGTCCAAGCTGATGTCACTCACTTACACATCTGAGAGATACAGATTTTAATTTGAGACAGAAGGCAATAAGTTTTGTAAGAGTTACTTTCTTTATCTCCATAATTTATACTGCTCAGTCTTAGACATATTTCTCCTCTTTCTGTAAGATATACTTTCTATTCTTATTTTTTAATATTTATTTTTATGTGCAAGGTTGTTTGCCTGCATGTATGTCTGTTCACTGTGTGCAATCATTGCCTGAAGAGGTGAGGAGGCATCAGATCCCCTGGATAGTTATGAACTTCTAGGTGGGTTCTCAGAACCAAATCCACATTCTCTGCAAAAACAGCAAATGCTCCTAATCACTGAGGAGTCTCTCCTTCCCTTATTTTCTTTTTCTTTTTGAATTAGTTTTAAACTAATTGCTTGTTGGTGAAGTAGAAAGGCAATATGATCTGACAGTGGAATATATTTAAGCAATAACATGAGGGGTTTCTTGACAATGTAATCCAACATAGCTACAAAATTATATGAAATAGTTCATCTCTTCCAGAGCTTGCTAGCCAGGAGGTGCATACTGGTTTGCCTTAGGCAGATGTTGAATGAAGTCTCTGATATAGATTTTTTATTGAATGAGTTCACCCTCTCAATGGGAATTGTTCATCATTTATCTTGCAAGGTCACTGGCAGTGTCTGTATGAGGACTGGAGATTATCTACAGAGGAATCTCTGATCTGTGCAAGTCCCCAACTGCTACTAAAAATGATAATGATGCCAGTCAGGAGATGCAGAACTTATTTCCTGAGGTATAATAACAAAATAAACAATAATCCCATATAATTTCTGTGGAGCTCAGGGAGGCTTTCATGAGTACTACAACAAATTGAGCATAGGCATACACCTAACTTTTAATGATCTTGGTATTTAGGGCTTCTGGATAATTTTGAGAATTCCAAAAACACAAAGTCCCACCCATTTCTTGGTGTTGTACCATATCAGTGATTCCTCCTGGATTTTACTGGCTACTGGTCTTGGGTTTCAGAAAGACTTCTAAGGTGTCTGTTTGCCATAGAGATGGTTGCATATGGATTCAGAGTAATGCCCTTGTGACATCATGGGATCACATACTGAGAAGGAATTATTGTTATAAAGAAGATGGATGCCTTTACAGATGGAGTTTGTAGAGATACCTGTGTTGTACAGAGACTGATAAAGATGTGTTTAGCTGAGATGTAAGTCCTGAAGAACAGTTTTTGTTTGAATCATGATTTAAGAGAGTTATTAAGTTAAGTGGTTAAGTTAAGGAGACAGTTTGATACCAGGAATAAGAAGAAAAGCAACAATCTTACCACAAGGACACATACTCAACTATATTCATAACAGCATTATTTGTAATAGCAAGAACCTAGAAACAACCTAGATGCCCCTCAACTGAAGAGAGGATAAAGAAAATGTGACACATATACACAATGAAGTATTACTTAGCAGTAAAAAACAATGATATCATGAAATTTGCAGGCAAATGGACAGAACTAGAAAATATCATCCTGAGTGAGGTAACCCAGACTCAGGACAAACATAGTATATACTCACTTATAAGTGGATACTAGATGTGAGGGAAGGGATGGCCAGACTGCAACCCACAGCTCCAAAGAGGCTAGCTAACAGGGAAAGACCCTAAGAGGGACACATGGATGACCCAGCAAAGGAGAAGTAAATGAGATCTACATGAACGAACTGGGTGTGTGGAGAGGGGTGGCAGAGGTGAGGAGCGGGGGATGAGAACATAGGGAAATGGGAGGACTGAGCTGGAACAGGGACAGAGTGGGAGGGCAGGGAGGAAGATAACATGATAGATGAGGACATCATGGGAATAGGAAGAGTCAGGGTGCTGGGGAGGCTTTCAGGAATACACAAGGATGATCCCACCTTGGACTGCTGGCAGTGGTCTAGAGGGTGCCTGGACTGGTCTACTTTGGTGACTGGTCTAGAGAATAACCTAGCTGTCATTAAAGTGCCTTTGTCCAGTGACTGATAGAGTAAAATGTAGAGATCCATGGCCAGGCACTAGGCTGAGCTCTGAGAATCCAACTGATGAGAGAGAGGAGGTATTCTGCAGGTGTGGGACATGGAGATCATGATGGGAAGATGTGCAGAGCTGACCAGCCACACCAGAGGAAGCCCATGAATTGTGGACTGGTGGCTGTGGAGCCCCCATGGGACTGGACTAGGTCCTCTGGATACAGGAGATGGTTGCTTGGCTCAAACTGTTTGGGGGGCACAAAGGCAGGGGGATCGGTATCCATCCCTGGTGCCTGGCCAGGCTTTTGGGAATCCAGTGTCTGTGGTGTGATGCCTTGCTCAGCCTTGGTGCAGTGGGAAGGGACTTGACCCTGCCTAGGCTCAGTGTGCCAGGTTCTGCTGACTCCCCATGGGAATGTGCCGTGCTAGGGAGAGAGGGCTGGGGGTGGGAGGGCAAGGAGGTGGGATCTGTGGGTGGTATGTAGAGTGATTAGAAAATTTCTTAATAAAGAAAAATGAAAAAAAGAAAAGTAAGAGAAGAATGACTGTGATTGACTGACTCACTGACTTATTGACTGACTGACTGAATGAGTGAATTAACACTCAATTCTCAAAAATACAGGTCCTTCAATACCAGTTCACTAGACTTGTTTCCTCATGCCTTATAAGATTTTTTTTCATTGTTGATGTTTTTTTTAATTATTTTATTTTATTTTACAATACTATTCAGTTCTACATAACAGCCACCGATTCCCTTGTTCTCTCCCTTCATGCCCCCCTCCCCTTCCCCCCAGCCCACCCCCCATTCTCACCTCCTCCAGATCAAGGCCCTCCCCGAGGACTGAGATCGACCTGATAGACTCATTCCAGCCAGGTCCAGTCCCTTCCTTTCAGATTGAGCCAAGCGTCCCTGCATAAGCCCCAGGTTTCAAACAGCTAACTCATGCAATGAGCCCAGGACCTGGTACCACTGCCTAGATGCCTCCCAAACAGATCAAGTCAATCAACTGTCTCACCTATTCAGAGGGCCTGATCCAGTTGGGGGCCCCTCAGCCTTTGGTTCATAGTTTATGTGTTTCCATT